TGAGTAGTGGGGGGTTGCTGGTGTGTTCAATTTATAAATTTTATATTTATATAATGTGTGTTTGTGTGTAATATATATATATATATATATATATATATATATACAGTTGTGCTCATAAGTTTACATACCCCATGCAGAATGTGCAAAATGCATACCCTTAAACCTAATACTATGTGTCATTTCCTGGATGATCCACGACTGTTTTTATATTTTGTGATAGTTGTTCATGAGTCCCTTGTTTGTCCTGAGCAGTTCAACTGTGTGCTGTTCTTCATAAAAATCCTCCAGCTCCTGCACATTCTTTGGTTTTCCAGCATCTTCTACATATTTGAACCCTTTCCAAAAGTGACTGTATGATTTTGAGATTCATATTTTCTCACTGAGGACAACTGAGAGACTCATACACAACTATTACAAAAGGTGAAAACATGTACTGATGCTCAAGAAGGCAACAGAATGCAATAAGAGCCAGGGGGATGTAAACTTTTGAACAGGATGATGATGTGTAAAATTTTTTTTTATTTTGTTTAACGATCATATTTTTTCATTTAGTACTGAACTTCAGAAGCTACATAAATACTTACATCTTTCCCAGAAGACAAAATAAGTACAATTTACCCTGATTATCCAATTAAAAAAGTTTAAACCCCCCCGTCTCTTAATGCATTGTGTGGCCTTCTTGAGCATCAGTACTGTACATGTTTTCACCTTTTGTATAGTTATGCCCTCAATTGTCCTCAGTGTTAAAAAATTGATTTTTAAAATCATACAGTCAATGTTGGAAAGGGTTCAAATATGTAGAAGATGCTGGAAAACCAAAGAATGTGCAGGAGCTGGAGGATTTTTCTGAAGAACAGCAGGCAGTTAAACTGCTCAGGACAAACAAGGGACTCATGAACAACTATCACAAAATATAAAAACAGTCGTGGATCATCCAGGAAATGACACATAGTATTAGGTTTAAGGGTATGCATTTTGCACATTCTGCATGGGGTATGTAAACTTATGAGCACAACTGTATATATATATATATATATATATATGTATAAAATCTTTTTAATAATAATTTAAAAAATGTTTTTAATTTTTTAATTCCATATAGATATATACATACTTTTATACATGCTATAAAACTATAAAAATGTTGTAAATTGATTTATAAATAGATCGATCTCTGTCTCATTAATTATTCAGCTGCAATATATTCAGTTCTGTGTTAATGAAATTAAATTTTCAATGTGTTGACAAATTTAGTTGTTTGTTTGGATTATAGAGAAGTGCAAATCACAGTGGGATCAAGTGATATTTTCCCTATCACATTTTACAAGAAAACACAAATTCCTTTTGAAAACAACTGAAAACCAATAGAGATTACAGAGCAAGTCGTGCTCATAATTACTTTGCAGATTATGCAAATGAAAAACAATGTCTTCCGTAATTATGTATATGAACTCTAGGAACTAAACAGCCAACAAATGCAGCTGTTGCCAGACAAGATGGTGCAAGAACATTTTAACAGAAATGGGTAATTTAAGACATTTACATCAAAATCTGTATCACAGCTTCTAAACAACTTTTAACATGAACTCAGAATATGCATCATTGCGCATATTTGTAACTTAAAATATCACCTTTTCATGTAAGAGTGATTGTCAGTATAAAAGATAGGGTTTCCACAGCTTTTGTGAAGGTAAATTTAAGACTTTTTTTAAGATCAACTAAAGAAAATGTAAGGAATAAATGGAAACAAACACAAAGAAATTCAACAAAATGAAGTGTGTTTATGACTAAAGCGCTCGGTTTACACCTATCGCCATTTCTAGCCACTGGGGGACCATAGGCAGGCTAGGGGAACTCATATTAATGTTAAAAAACCTCATAAAGTGAAATTTTCATGCCATGGGACCTTTAATTCTTAACATTTTGCAAGGGGTGTGTAAACTTATGAGCATAACTGTTTATACATGCACACACACACACACACACACACACACATATATATATATATATATATATATATATATATATATTTGTCTATCTCTCTGTCTATCTATCAAATAATTGTTTTATGTAAAGGTGAACATGGGACTGAATGTTTCATAAATCAATACTTACAGCCATCAATTCCCTTATTAACAAGATGACATTGACTAACATTTGTCCAAGCATGTCTCCCTCATTACATTTTCTTTTTTTTTAAGATGTGTACAAATCTAAAATAAAACAGAGCCGTCAAACCTGTAAATGTCAATTACCGTATTTCCCTTGACATTTCTGGATAATGGCTGACATGCGGGCGCCGTAATAAGCATCATTAGATTTCAGACGGCCTGAGATGCATCAACACACGACGTGTTTGTTCGTCGTTCGGTAAGACGAGAGCCGTGTAACGTCTACGGCATATTTCATTGTCAATTGGCAAGCTTCGCTCCTCACCACAGTGATAAGGGACGGCTTTGTTAATGTAATAGATGCTCTTGGCATTTCAAAAAGCACTCAGCCCTCTTGATTAGCTCATTTAGTCTTATTACTTAGGGGCCTTATTCACTTCTTCATTCATAAACTCCACTCACAGTCATCACATACTGTATCACGGTTAATAGACCAGACTAGCACACCGGCCAGATGCGTATATGCGAGTCTCTCTGTTTATTGGGAGGGAAAGAGTGGAAGTATGTGGACTGTTAAGGAGCCTCAGAGGTCTCTACATGCAACTTTTATTGTTCAGACTCACCACGCCAATAGAGAAGTAATTGTTCACGATGCTATACGGGACTGGATCTCCTCTTTCATCTTTGTCTACAGGAGTGATGTCAATCTTCCACCTGTCCAACATCACTTCAGCACTGTTCTCAATGTCCTTGAGAATCTGCAAAAGACTTTCTCCGTCGTAGCCTGAAAGCCAAAGGACACATTACAAATTACTCCATTGAGGTGTTTCAGGTTTGGATTCTCCATAGCTCCAGCTATTTATAGACAAGGAACCGACGTTTTTGTAACATTTAGATCTTAAGTAGTTATGAATGAGTAAAAAAACTGTGAAAATACTACAGTTATAATATGTGATAAGTTTCCCAGCATGGCTCGCAGTGTGGATTTAGACTTTAGGATTCACACAAAATCTCATTTACAGCATCAAATTAAAATATTGAAATGACTTAAATTACCTCCACCCCAGCGCAGACACCTTGCGAGGTCATTTCCTGTGCCGAGAGGAAGTACACACACAGGGGGATTCTGTTCAAAGTTGGCTTTATCTAAGAAAAAGAACAGCACTTCAGAGAACAATAGGAAAAACAGAACATCCCATGATTCCACTAAAGTTGCTTTGGCAGAGGGGAAAAATATAACTTGTTTTACCTTTGCTCCAGAAAATAAAGCAATAATAAATAAAAAAGGGCTATTTATGGGAATTCAACTGTACTATACACAGTACATAGTTTATACAGAGTCAAAATCTGCTAATAGTGGAGCACAGTTTTAAAAAGTGATTTTTCTTTCACCATTATTTACAACAGGATCTGCATTTTCATGGGTTTAAATAAAGTTTTTTTAAGAGACAATAAAAACTACTTTGTGCATCAAAACCACTCTTTTTTGACATCTCCAGCACATTTCATAATAACCAAAAATTAAACCATTTACACAGAACATTAGAACTAAAATCTACATCATTTGAATATAAAAACATTGATGTCTGTCAAAAAATAACATGCACAATAGTATTCGTATTATAGTATTTTATAGTATATAGTAATAGTATTTTTTTGGAAAACCCACAATACTACATCATTGCTGTCTGAGAAGAAGAAGAAGAGCAGGCTGTCTGTCAGAGACAGTAATGTACGTAACACTTAAGTATAAATTTGTACTTCACTCACTGAAATTAACAGGTTGTTTAAAAGATTAAAAAGTCAATGATCAAATTTTAATAAAATGATGTTTAATTTTCCAATAAAAGATGATACATGTTTACGATTTGTTACATTTAATTACCTCTTTGCTGATTTTGAGCATACACATATAGACCCATACAGACTACAGTACATATGTATGTACACATTTACTGTATAATGAAATAAATGGCAATGTCAAAACTACAGTGGTTCTTTTCTAATACACTCCTCTGAAAGCATCCAGTCTATTACTCTGCCTTTGTTTTGATTGATAAAAAATTGAGGCAATTTTTGACACAAATAAAGGACTAAATGAGGACACAGTCATCTAAAAAAATCACCTGCAGAGACTATTCTTCAGATTATATAAATAATATGCCATTTCTTGAAGAAAGATAATCATCCTATTTGCCCCGAAAATACAGGTACGAATGTAATAGCTTTAGTTCTGTGAAAAATAAGCATTTGACTATTTCGACAAATATAACAAAATCACTTCTGTTCAAAAGAACCTCTGAAACAACCAGAAAAGCCTTTTTCGCAATATTTCCTCAAGATGTCTTTATGTTATGAAGTTTACTTTAGCTTGTTGTTTTTATTAAATCCAGAATGAAAACTTCTTGGATTTAATTTACAACATGGCACAGTATGGAAGCCCTGATCCACATGACTCAAGCTTTTAATTGCTCTAAGAAATGACTCGGTCAACAAGAGGCCAAAGCAAACAAGCAAGCACTATGTGGGCATCATACAACTGTGTTTCTGTTTTCATCTGAACTCACCTATAACATCAAGAATCCATCCAACGGTACCATCTCCACCACAGGCCAGGACTCTGAAATCTGGAACATCTCGAAAGAAATTTAAGCTGAAATGAAGAGCATCAGAATTACTAAGATGCCAAGTGCTAGAAAAGCAATATAAACATACTTTACTTTTATACTTCTACAACTATTAAATACTGTATATGCATGTATTTAATGAAAGATAACGAAGATTTATTAGACAATGCACATAAAAAATAGTCAAATAGTGAAATCTTTTTCACTGTATTGGATTATGAATGAATCTTTTGTTTAAATAACAAATGCAAATCCATCTTTTGGAAAGCCAAGCCTGTTCAGAAGCTAATCAAATCTATCAAGACAATGTTCATTGCAGCGTCTTCCGTTCCTTCACAATAATAAAGCTCTAACTGCATGAAGGGACCTTACATGGTAGAATGGCGCACAAAATAAGACTCTTAATTACTTTACTTATTGGGACATGCAGGCTTGGCAAATCATATTAGATAGCAAAAACAGATGACCAATCACATGAAAAAGCAACTTTGAGGATGTTTGAGTATGAAGAAACAAACACTCAGTTTGCTCTAATTGTGTTAGCAGGGCCTATAATTGACAGACAGCCCAGAGCTACGGCTGACAATCACCTCAACAAAGCAATGTCACATTATCATCACATGACTACGCCAAGCTCATGTGTTATTTCAACAGATGTGACTGTGAATGCATAAAGTCAAAAGCTATCTTTTCCACCAGCAAGGAAACATCAATACTTAGGCTACACCTTACTTCAAACGCCATAATCAACAGGTTCAAAAGCAAATTGGCTGACAAGCTCTAAATGGTGTCTAGAGAGCATCGCTCAGTGGGCTGCATTTATAAAATCATAAAAATCTGGAAAAAAAATAAACAAATGCCAAGAGCAACAGAAATCACCCCATTTATTTATGCTTGTATGTATGTTATGTATTTATTGAAAAAAAAGTTTATTTTGCTCACCAAGGCTGCATTTATTTGATTGAAAATACAATAAAAACAGTAACATTGTGAAATATTATTACAATTTAAAATAACTGTTTTCTACTTTAATATATTTTAAAATGTAATTTATTCCTGTGATGCAAAGCTGAATTTTCAGCATCATTAATCCAGTCTTCAGCGTCACATGATCCTTCAGAAGCCAATCTAATATGCTGATTTGGCGCTCAATAAACATTTCTTCTTCTTATTATTATTATTATTATCCATGTTGAAAAGTATTTTGTTGCTTAATAATTTTAATTTTCTTTAACTACATTTAGAGTAGTTTTTCTTTCTTCTTTTTTGCCCAAGACCCATAAATGCATATAGAATCATATCACTAATTGAATCAAATCAATTAATGAATCAAAATTCATCATTCTAAATTTTTCCAAATTTGAATCAAAACCTACAGTATGACCAGTGAATGGAATCGAATCACTGTCAACCCAAATATTCACACCCAATAACATTTCTGTTTTCTTTATTGCTCTTTGAAATTCCATTTTCAAAATATAGTCTCATTGAATATTGTCACAATCCTCACGGCTGTGCACTTAACTCAAAAGTGACCATGTAGCTGGCATACTAATAACAAATTCAGTCAGTGATCACAGAGCTTCATGGTTGCGTGCATTTGATTGACACCAGCGATGGTATGCGTGATCACACTAGGCCCTGAGAGCGGCAACACACTATCACTAACATGAATCTATTATTACCAGCTGACTGTCAGCACTGGAGACTTCCACAGCCTGGCTTTGTTCTCCGCAATGTTTGTGATGGTGGATCTAACCCTTTAATAATGTCTACATTTACAGCTAAGATGTAGAGCGACATTGTCATGCATGAATTAGTGCACTTTATTATCAAGCAGTGTCTGCATATACAATATATTGTTAACGTGGAGTTGTCAGAACTCTTATGATCATAAAGCGAGAATGTGGCACAACAATACGTTTCAGCAGGGAGCTAAATGCTTCTGTTAGAATGATAAGAGAAAAGCCTCTCTGGAGTGTCTGGAGAACTGTCACTCACCCAGGCATGGGGCCGTTCTTGGCCAGGTTGTAGACTTGACGGGGGTTCAGGAGGTACTGGAACTTTCGGAAGATTCTAGATAGGGCAGAATTTATAAATAGAAATGTAAGAAATTATAATAAAAAAAATAAATCGATAAAAGTACATTCCCACAGCATGACTATATTTTATTTAAATAGTTTTGTTTCTTCTTGTTTTTATCACTAATGTACATTATGGTGTTTTTATACATTTTCTGTCAATATTTAGTTAATGTTTACTGCATTATTTTAGTGTCATATCACATGTGTTACCCTGATAGTATTTTGTTTTTGTGTGTATGATCCTGTGCAATGTTTCAAGGACAGGCCACTTACTGTATGATGAACTCTGATTTATCATGTGGCTTTCTATTTTACCACCTGTAGTATTATTATGGTGGTTATCAGTACAGGTATAAAGATTTTGGTCATTCAAGTATTTTTGAAGTATTTTGGGAGTTCATTGGTATATTAAGTTAAATAGACAGTTTTAAGGCACCAATATTCCATTCATAATATTTTCACCATATTTTTACAATGAATTTCTGGCAACCACAGATGCCATTTTTGTTCATAAATTTAACAGGATATATTTTACAGTGATTTTTTAAATAATAGATGGAAGTGGTTGGATGAATTCACAATAGAAACTGTAGCGTCTGGTCCAATCAAACACACAATTTTTCATTTGATTTAACAAATACTCTGTAACACCCCTCAGTTAACAAGCCATATGAGGACCTATGGACCCTTCCCCCGAAATGCGTAACACCCCAGGAAAGCATAACAGGCCTCTGGTTCCATGGCAACCAAGGCTGATATCACTGGTTTTATTGCTCAAAGGAATGCAAGCAGAGAAGCGGGCACCAGGAAAGACACACAATGCCCAAAAATGGACTATTCTCTAATTAATTCATAGAAAAACCTTTCTGTGAATGAACTGACATATCCTTCAGGTCATTGTGTATGTTCCATTTGCACCTTTTTACAAAGGTGTGTTTGAACTAAGAATCTGATGTTCCCTTCAGGCTGTAAATCTGCTGAATATGCAAATGCTTCCATAACTTCATTCCTTATTTCTCTGCTCTTTACTGCTTAAGCTCTAACCCTTTCCTATACCAACTGTAGGCGTGTGTGTGTGTGTGTGTGTGTATGTGTATGTTAGACCAGTTTAAGTGTTTATGTGTATGTTAGACCAGTTTAAGTGTTTATGTAGTATGTTAGACTAGTTTAAGTGTTT